CTCTTGGAGCGAGTGAAAACCACGCGCCGACTTAAAAAATCCGCTCCTCGCTCCAGTCAAAATCACACCGCTCCACTCCACGCTCCGCTCACATACTCTGATTGTGAGTAACTGTTGCTGTCATGACAGATCTATTTCAGAACCAGCCACTTTCAAAATAATCTGTTTGTACCTGTTGCTGACCAAAATAATGTGCCTGTTGCCGACCACTGTTGTATGACATCAAAGTCCCGCTAGAGCGATTCAAAAGCATAAGGAAAAGCATAAGTCTGCTCTCTATAGCTCTCGCGGTACTTTGATGTCATATATCGATCAGTCTGATGGTGATGATCCGCTTCAAGTCGAACAAGCCTAATGATTCAGTGGACCATTTACTTCACTCCTGAATGAATCAGTCTTTTAAACAAATCAAATGAATGAATAAATTACTCAATGACTTAATTAAGACATTTACCACCACCTACTGGCAGTTTTAGTTTATTATTTAGAGTATCATTTCATTTAATAAATAATTTCATATTTCCATAGTAATAATGATAAAATTTTACTACCACCTACTGGCAGTTTTAGTTTATTATTTAGAGTATCATTTCATTTAATAAATAATTTCATATTTCCATAGTAATAATGATAAAATTAATAAAATTAATTATTAAAGGTATAGTTCACCCACCCAAAAAATGACAATTGTGTCACCTCATGGTCTAAAAGAATATATGTAATAAATTATATATAAATAAATATATAACTAAATATTTTTTTGCTGAAGCTACTTTTTGTAATGTTTGTTTGATGCTTTACATAACAATGACTTTATAATTTGGGAGTAATTTCTCAGCCAAATTTGATGTGCAATTAATTTGCGATGAATTAGATTAATTAATTGCCACATCATGTAATTAATTAGATTACATATTTTAATCGCTTACCAGCCCTAATTAAAATATGTTGTGAAAATGTTGATGGAACAAACTGATGCATGTACAGAATTGAGAAAAGGGTATTTATGAAGATCAATTGATGTCTCACAAGGCAAATGTATTTCAGTTAAAAAAAGGTCAGTGTAATACAAACATTTTCGAGAAATTAGTCATTTGTATATTTGCATAACTAGTAGTAAGGGAAAAATACATTATGTAGCTATGTGCATGCACCATGAGTTTAAGTCAACTTTCATTTCGTGAGCTGAAGCAAGTTTCCATCATTTTTTGTGCAAAATGGTTCAAGCGCAACTTTTTCAGTTATTTTCCTTGATTAGAATTTAAAGACATTGCCCGACATTATGTCATGGTGCTGTATGTGTGACTGTGAGGGACTGAGAGATTAGATGAGAGCTGTGTGTCATCGACTTTGCAAAAAAACAAACAAAAACATATTGAGAGTCCAAAAGCATTGACTGCGAGATGAAGCCCGTTAGAATGCAGTTAGAATGCCCTTATAATTCAATTAATGAAAGAAAAAATACCCATGTATGAGTTTTTATGTTTTAATATTCATTGCACAAGCAATGTACTTTTCTGAATATCAGCACATAAATATGCTAATAATTTTATACAACAGTAGCTAAAGAGCTAGAGTTTTATTCCTTGAATGAATCTGAATCATGTGAGCCAGTGATTCAACCGTCCATTCACTTGTTTAGTTTCTAATTGAATCAGCCGTTTTGAATAAATCGTTTGATTTGAATGATTCAATAAATCATTTATTAAAACAGGGATTTTCTGCCACCTACAGGCGGTTTTACTGTCATCTTTATTTATCCATGACAGTCCTAAACCAGCCAAGGTGCCAGCACAAAAACATTCAGCAAAATATTGTTTAATTAGCAGTACTGACCCAAGTTCCTCAATTTCAGGCCCCAGAAGGAAAAAAAAGCTTAAAAATAGTTTGTTTAATAAGGAAAATTCCTTAAAGGGGTCATATGATGCTTTTTTAAAGATCATTATTTTGTGTATTTGGTGTAACAGAATATGTTGACATGCTTTAATGTTCAAAAAACACATTATTTTTCAAATACTGTACATTATTGTAGGTCCTCTATGCCCCGCCTCTCTCAAACGCCAAACACCGCAAGCACTCGTCAGAAATGTAATGCTCCTTACCATAATCGCAAGCTTCATCTTTCAAAATAAATGCAAAGACAGAGCCCGACAGGGGAACAGAGTCGCGTGACAGACACAGTGATGAAGCTGGTATGTGTTTGCAGCACACAAGCCACGGTTAAGACAGCTGACTCCACAGTGATGTGACCCTCTCTCTCTCTCTCTCTCTCTCTCT